ATCCATCCATCCATCCATCCATCCATCCATCCATCCATCCATCCATCCATCCATCCATCCATCCATCCATCCATCCATCCATCCTCTTTATATGTGTGAAGCAGTTCAGACTGGAAAGATAAGGCATAACCCTTTAAACAAACTTTAAACAAAAACAAATAAATCTGTTGGATTAGTGAAACACCTTAAAGCCAATGAGTTAAAGCCAGAATTGAAAAAAGATGCTCTGTTCTTGTTCTAGTTGTACGAGTTAAGCCTTGCAGCTGTTTTTTGCTGCGGCAAACAAGCAACATAAGTGTAGCTAATTCCAAAATAAAGTTGTTTATACTTGTAAAAATGCAGAATTCTAAAATATTATTAAGACAATTATTTTCTTAGTGTTGCTTTTAGACAATTAAGAACTTCTTTTGGACAGAACACTGTCCAGTAATACAGTTTAGACTATACTTTTGCTGTATTCCCCATTAAACTGTATAGTTTAAAGGGAATGCATTTATTATTTGTCTGCATTAGGATCAGTAAAGCAATAAGTGGCAAGAGATGCAAAGCATAAAAAAAGCTTTCTAAGAAGGTAACCTTGTGGTAGACCCTGCAGAGTAGCAGATTTGAAAATAAAATTGAATGTATTGACACATGAGAAAGGCTTCTTGTGTGTGTCATGGTGGTTTTGTTTCTGCTTGTTCAGAATTCTGCCCAAAAGTGTTTACTTCCAAGGTTCATTAAGTGTGGTGATGTAATGTTTGTGTGTTGCCTTTCTCCTTTTATATTTCATTTATTGATTAATTTTTGGCATTTTCTGAGTGTTTGGAGACAGAAATATATAAATGAACGGTACTAAAGTAAAAATTGCTGTACCAATGAAAATTTTGTTTGTGCATTCTATGGAAAAGGGCACCCAGAAACTCACTGCTAGTAAACTGCCTAAAATATGGCTATTCCATCTTTCTGAAGTAAGCAGAAGAGAAAAATTTGTGTTTTTTTTGTGGGAACTTTTCTGATTAGAAAAAAATCTGTCTGTCTGTCTGTATACCTATAT